GTCAGTCCTGCCAAGAGATGGGGGAGGGATCAGTTGGCTTTGGGAGGGTCCCCTCTCTCTCCCTAGCCGGCCTAGGCAGAGTGGGAAATGGCTGGGATCTCCCCATTTTTCAGGTGAGGACACCAAGGCACACAGCAAGAGGAGAGAGAGGCCAGGAGGCTCGAGCACTTGAGGAATCATCTCCTGGGAGCTAATCTGCCTTCTCTGGGCCATTCCTCCTCCCTTTTCCTGAAACATTAAGGCTCAGCCTTTGCAGCAAGGGCAGAGGGTATATGAGATCGGATTCAGAGTCAGAAACCCTGCGATCTGAACCCAGCTGTGTGACCCTGGGTATGGTGCTTAAACTCTCTGAGCTCCAGTATCCCAATTTCTAATGTGAGGACTGTGTCATCATCCACGTGTGGGATGGCGGGGTGAGGAGGGCATGCCACGTTGCCTGTGAAAGCGCTTTGTAAACAATGCAGCTCCAAAGCCGAGCATCTGCTCCGCTTGGCGCAGGAGGTAGGTCACAGCTGCTTGTGCCGGTGTCCCCCGTGCCCTGGGCTGGCCCAACAGCCGCACCAGAGATTGGAGCCAGGCGGGTTAAGCCAGCAAACCTTTTCCCTGCAGATGTTCAAGAACCACCTAAAATTGTTTAGGGGTGCGCATGCGCACGTGTGTGTGTGTGTGTGTGTGTGTGTGTGAGAGAGAGAGAGAGAGAGAGAGAGAGAGAGAGAGTCAGTAGGGTCATTGAGTTCAGCCGTGTTGGTGCAGGGATTCTGGTGCCCACACCCACTGTGGTGAAAGATGGCTAAAGACACATTCCTGAAGAATAAAAGGGTCTGCCCTGGCCGCTTTGGCTCAGTATCGACCCGCGGACCAAAGAGTCTTGCGTTTGATTCCGGTAAGGGCACGTACCTCAGTTGCCCCGGCCCTGATTGGGGCCGTGCAGGAGGCAACCAGTCCATGTGTCTTTCTCACATCGATGTTCCTCTCTCTCTCTCTCTCTCTCTCTCTCTCTCTCTCACACACACACACACACACACACACACTATCTGAAGATAAATGGAAAAATATCCTTGGGTGAGGACTTAACTAGATAAATACATAGACCTGCTGTGTAGGAGACAGATGGGGTGGAGGGTGGGCTGGGAAAGTTGGGGAAGTACCTGGAGGGGGTGATTGGAAGTGTGGGGTACCTGCTCTTTCCCCAGCCTGTGCCCCCTCCCAGGTGTTTCAGGCTCACGCTGAGCAGGGAGCCGGGTGCTGGGTGTGGCTGAATAAGGAGGCCTCTGACCCAGGCTTTGGTGAGGAAGCTGAGAGGGAGGAGCACCCCCCCCCCCATGTCTCCCTCCCACAGACAGCCTCAGGGCCATGAGCAGGAGAGGGTCCCTGCCTCACTGCCTGTGACGGCCTGTCACTGTGCAAGTCGCCAGCCCCACAGACCCCTAATCAAAGTGACAGCTCCAGGAGTCCTCCCAGAGAGGGGGCCTCTAAGAAGTGCAACGAGGATGTCCCACCCCCTCACCATCCTTACCCTCCCAGGGACCGAGGCTGTGTAGGAACAAAGCCGTGCCTTAAGGGCCCCTCAAGCCTCCCTGAAAGTAGGCGTGGCTCTCCATTCCCAGGCTGCCCGTCAGCCACACACCCTCAGGCTCTCTGGTCGGGAGGTCCCTACGCACTTCCCCTCACCCCAACCTCAGGGGCAGGTGTTAGCATCCTCTTGCTGAGGGCTGCCTCTCCCATTCAGCTCTTCGAGAGTCAAGGAGACAGGAGAAACCCATGGGGGGATCATGACCCAGAGTAGGCTCAGAGATAACCAGGCCAGTGGAGAACAGCTTCTGGAGCCTCAGAGTTCCAGGGTTCCCAGAAATCTGAGGACGCTTCATCCCTGCCTGTCTCATCCCCTTGCTCCCACAATGCCGCTCACTCTTCTAGCCTGGCAGGTGTAAAGGTCTGGCCCTGGCTGACTTCCCTTAGACTGTGAGTGCCCGGAGCGTGGGCACCGAGGACTACTCAGTGCGGAATGCCGGCACCAGGCACAGGCCAGCACGGGCTGGAGGGCGAGGTGAGGATGGACGGGTGGCTGGGGGCAGGACTTACCAGGTCCCATTTAACAATCTGGAGAATACCAGGCATCATGTCTCCTGGTGTCCCCCCAAACCTACTCAATACTCAGGGGATAAGAACAATGGGAAGAGGGAAGCCAAGTAAAAGGGGTCCCTGTCCCTCTGGGCAGCCTGACTATGGCCATGGGTATCTGGTGTTGTGGTCTTTTAACCTCACACCCCACGTGCTCTCTCCATACTGGCATGGTGGTTGGGGAAGGGAAAAGGAGGGCTTGTGGCTTGGGGACCACTGCCTAGAAGTAGGGCCTGGAGAGGTCGTATTAGAGGGAGTAGGGCCAGGACACGGTTCTTGAGCCACAGGGCTGGCCCTCCCCACCCAACACTGCCCTCCAGACCCGCTTCCCTCTTGGCGCCCCCCTCCTGACAATGGAACTATCCATCACAAAATCACCTAAGCTAGAGTCATCCTTGGCACCTCCCTCCCCCGTAGCCCCCACATCTCAGCAGTCACCAAGTCCTAATGGTTCTGCTACAGAGAAGTCCCCAGAATCTGCTTCCTCTATCCCAGCCCCTCTCTCGTACCTCCAAGTTTTATCCTTCCCTTTCGCTAGAGACCTCTAAAGATACTAATTGCTCCCACTCAAAACCCTTCAGTGACACCCATCACCTTCAGTTCGAAGGCCAAATGCCCAGCCTGCCTGGGAGGTCCTCACTGGCAGCTCCTGTCACCTCCTGCCATGCCTGCCATGTGCCCAGCATAGCCCGCTGCCCCAGGAGGCATTGGCTCTGGTTCTCTCCTGCCTTGAGTTCCCTTTCCATCTCCAAGATCCAACCTCGATGTCACTCCTCTGAAGCCTTCCCTGACTCCGGTGCCCACCCCAGGAAGCCTGTTGTTTCCTTGGACAAATTCGTCTGTGCATGCGGTTGTTTAGACAGCACATTTCCTAACAGGCGGGTATGCTGCCTTTTAAAAATATGGATCCTGCCCTGGCCGGTTTGGCTCAGCGGTTGGAGCGTCAGCCTGCGGTACAGAGAGACCCGGGTTCGGTTCCCACTAAGGGCACGTACCTCGGTTGCAGTTTGTCCCCGGCCCTGGTTGGTCGTGCGGGTGGCAGCCACTCGATGTGTCCCTTCACGTCGATGTTTCTCTCTCTCTCTCTTCCTCTCTCTCCCTCCCACTCTATCTGAACAAAAAATGGAAAAGTGTCCTCAGGTGAGGATAAAAATATATATATATATATGGATCCTTAGACAAATGCTGTATGTTCTCACTTACACGCAGAATCTAAAAACAGTTAAAATCACAGAAGTAGAGTAGAAAGGTGGTTGGGGAGTCAGGGATGTGGGGAGATGTTAGTCAAAGAGTACAAACTTCCAGCTACAAGATAAATGAGGTCTGCAGTTCAATGCCCAGCATGGTGACTATGTGAACATACTGCATTATATAATTGAAAGTCACTAAGAGAGTAGATTTCAACTGGTATCACCACACACACACGCAAAATCATAATCATCTGAGCAGATGGAGGTGTTAACTAACCTTACTGTGGTAATTATTTTATAATATATATGTGTGTATCTAATCATCACATTGTACACCTTAAACTCACACATGTTATATACCAATAATATCTCAATAAAGCAGGGGGAAGGCAATGGATATGAATCCTCCAAACAGTGGCTTGGACCCTGGGCTTGTCTGTAATTATCTGATGAATTAATGAGTGTCTTTTGGACTCAGGCACATACACACCCACTTTCCAGAAACATCCATAGACCAGGTACACTCTTACTCAGACTCACACCCTCGGTGTCCCCAAGTGCTCAGGTAGAGGAGCTGGCACCAGATCAGAGCTCTCCCTGCTTTGCTTATGCAGGGACCTCTGTCTACAGTGTCCCTTCTCCCCTTACCCAGGTTGCAAAGCTCAGCACATCCCACTTCCTTCAGGAGGCCTTTCCTGGTGCCCACAGGTATAACTGACCTTTCTCCTTTGAATCCCTGGGGATAGGTCCCACAAAGCACCCAAACACTTATCTGCTCTTTTTGTGTCTGTTTCCGCCCAAAAGATAGACTTGGTCTTGGCAGGGGAAGGGGGTTTGAGGAGGGAGACGGGAATTCTTTGTCTCCAGGCCCCAGGCGGCCAGTACCGAGAACACAGTGGGTGCCCAAATATTCACCAAAAGAACAGGCAGCCCTGTTCAGAGCTCAGAGTGTAGCCCTCTGGCAAAGCTACCAACCTGGGCTGCGAGGTAAGTTCCCAGTGGTCACCTCCAAGAACGATGCAGAAGTTCCAGTGCCGCCCACCTCCCCGCGCGGCCTGGCTCTGAAGCTGTCCCCTGCCAGCCGCACTGATTCTCCCCAGGGCCGGTCTGCCTGTCAGCTGGGATCACCCTCAGGAATTCATCCACCCATTTCCCCCAGAAATCCGCCTTGCAGCCAGCTGCCCCTTCGTGCTGGCAGCCAAACCTCTGCAAAGTCACCCCAGCTAGGGAGAAGCAGAAATCCTGGCCAGGAGTCCAGTGGCCAAAGGAAGAGGGGCGCCCCTAGTCCCTCCCGCACATGAGTGTCATGCGCCTGGCTATCCCTGGCCTTCAGAGACAAGAGCAGGAGCCGGGCACACCCTGTAGGTGAAGCTTTTGTCTGAAAGACTATCCTTGTCGGGGGGCTCCAAAATGGGGTCCTGATCCCAAAAGACCCCTCAGAGAGACCCCTGAAACCCAGAAAGACCTCAAGAGGAGGCCTCAGACCTAAAAGACCCTCAGACCTGAGAGATCCCAAGAGGGTTATGCAAATACAAAACAAAACTTGGCAGCATCTGGGAGACTTCAGACCCTAAAACCCATTGAGGGCACCCCCGACCCAAAGACCCTACAGAGAGGAGCCACAGACCCAGAGCCCCTCAGCGGGGCCCAGAGCCAAAGTTGTGGGCACAGTGCCCCCCCTGGACTGACCTGGCCCTGCAGGGGCCTTTCCCAGGCTGAGCTGCCGCAGCCGCCTCTGGTGGGCCCGCCCCTCGCAGTGCACCTGGGCCTGGGCCGCCGAGTTCAGCTGCACGTTGCAGACGTCGCAGAGCGTGTAGGAGGGCCGTTTCCTCTCGCGCTTGGGCTTGGGCGGCTCTGGGGGCTGAGGGGGGCCCTCAGCAGCTCCAGATATGGGGAGCTCCTTCTCAGCAGGGGGAGATGGGCTCAGCGGCCGCTTCATTCCTGAGCAGATAGAGAGGGAGACAGATAAACAAAGGCTGAGTGTTGTGAATACACAGAAGGAGCAAGATGGGTTCAAGATCCAGAGCCCCCTGGGTCTTTTATCCCAGCTGGAAGCTCCCAGCTGCGGGAGAGCCCCAACATAAGGATGGCAAAGGGAGCATAATGGGGTCTATTTCAAACAAAGCCGCATTCATAAAAGGCAGGAATATCTGGAAAAGTGTCAGAAATGCTACACACAGGGCAGCCTACACCTGGGCACGCGGCCACAGAGCAGAGCCCAGAGAGTGGAGCTGAGCCTTGAAGAGCAGGTGGGCACCGAGGGACCGGCAGCGGCGAGGTTGGTGGAGTCACATTTTGGGAAGCCAGCACCCGGCGGCAGGCGCTGACAATCCTGACAGGCAGGCATGTGGCGCTTGCTGGAGATGCACAGCCTCTGGCCAGGGTGGTGACTGCAGAAACCCAACCTCCCTGTGTCCAGGGCCCGGCAGGGTGACAGTCACAAGTGGTGGCAGTGTGTGAAACCACCCGCCCCCTGCCCCACGTGGCTCCAGATGCTCCCTGCTGGCTTGGCCATCCAGCCTGTGGCAGCAGTTGGTGTTTTCAGGAGAGACCTGGGCCCTACACACACACACATACACACCCTGGGTCCCACAGAGCTGACACATCACCCCTCCAGGCCCCTCATCTTCCACAGGCAGTCTTTCCTCACTTCTCTGAAACTTTCCCTCCTGATGGGCTCTACTCTGGGACTTCTCAGTGACTTTTCTCAGGCTGAACTGTGTCCATTTTCACTTCCTTCCTGAATCAGTGTGCATGCTTCCTGCCTCTGCTTTAGACTGGAGACTTCCTGAGGGCAGTGCCCATGTCCCCCTCACCAGGACAGAGAATTCCAGAGGTCAGGGATTCCCAAAGCTAGGATCCCAATGAGATGTGACTAAGCCTCCATCTCTTTTTTTTAAAATCCTCGCTCGAGGATATTTTTCCATTGATTTTTCAGATAGAGTGGGAGGGGGAGAGAGAGAGAAAAACATTGATGTGAGAGAGACACATCAATTGGTTGCCTCCCACATGACCCCCAGGGTTGGGGGGGGGAGGGTCAAAATTGAACCACAAATGAGGTACGTGCCCTTGACTGGAACTGAACCTATGACTCTTTGGTCTGTAGGCCAGTGCTCTAACCACTAAGTCAAACCGGCCAGGGCAAGCCTCTCTCTCTTATGGGCTGAATTGTGTCCACCAAAAATTCACATGTTGGAGTCCTAACTCCCAGTACCTCAGAATGTGATTGTGTCTAGAGAGAAGGTCTTTAAAGAGATAATCAAGTTAAGACAAGGTCATTAAGGTGGACCCTAATTCAATATGACTGGTGTCCTTATAAGAAGAGGAAATTTAGTTAGACAATTATAGAGGGAAGACCATATGAAGACTCAGGGAGAAGGTGGCCAGCCCTGGCCGGTTTGGCTCAGCGGTTGGAGCGTCGGCCTGCAGTCCAGAGAGACCCGGGTTCGGTTCCCGCTGAGGGCACGTACCTCGGTTGCAGTTTGTCCCCGGCCCTGGTCGGTCGTGCGGGTGGCAGCCACTCGATGTGTCCCTTCACATCGATGTTTCTCTCTCTCTCTGTTCCTCTCTCTCCCTCCCACTCTACCTGAACAAAAAATGGAAGAATGTCCTCAGGTGAGAATAAAAAAAAAAAAAGAGAGAAGGTGGCCAGCTACAAGCCAAGGAGAGAAGCCTCAGAGGACACCAACCCTGCTGACACCTGGATCTCAAATTTCTAGCCTCCAGAGTTGTGAGAAAATAAATTTCTGGTGTGTAAGTCACTCAGTCTACGGTACTTTGCTACAACAGCCCAAGCAAACTAATACATCCCCCTGAAGAGCATTTCCTCTTCCTTCGGCTCATGCTCTGCAAGCGAAGCCAAGCAATGCCCTAATATCCTCACAAGGCCACACATCCAATGGTGGATCCCGCAACTGAACAAAGAAAATGCATTTCTCCAGTCCACAGCCAAGAACTGGCCAAGAACCTGGAGTCCTTGGACCCGCCCCCTGCTCTCAGAAAGCTGCTTATCGTTTCTGTGGGCTGTGCTCCCACATACCATATCTGCCTTACACGTGTGGGGACTGCGTGTGAATGAAACAAGAGCACAGCAATGAAGAGTATGAGTTCTATATTGACTTGCACCTGGGTTCAAATCTCAGCTCTGCCACTTACTGGCTGTGTGACCTGAGCCTCGGTTCCCTCATCTGTATATCTGTAAAACAGGGGTGACGACTAACAGTTTCTATGGCACAAGCATAATGCGAGGATCAGATGAGCTGATCTATATAAAACATTTCTCAGTGTCCTATAAAAGTCAGCTATTATTAATCCACAATGTGGCTGTGTTTTGTAGTTTGTCAGTGGAGTCACCTGATCTGTCACCTTGGGTGTCTGTCATGGCATACCTGGGTCACTGTGGATGTCTCTGTCACCCCATCATTGGTTGTGGTGAATCTGTGTTGCTCAGTCTGTGTGTATGTCACAGTGTAGCTGTGTCACAACGTGAATGTCGTTGTGCCCATTATCATGGAATGAGACTGTCACTGAACATCTGAGACTCGCCATGTGTTACGGATTCAATTGTACCCCCTCGGATTCGTATGTTGAAATCCCAAACCCCAGCACTTCAGAATATGAAATACCACCCTGCCTGGAAATAGGGTCATTGCAGATATTATTAGTTAGGTTAAGAGGAGGCCATTCTGGAGCAGGGTGGCTCCCTAATCCAATATGACTAGTGTTCTTAGAAAAGGGGGATTTGGACACATTCATTCACACAGGGGGAAAGCCATGTGACGATAAAGGCAGAGATTTGAGTGATGCTTCCACAGGCCAAGGAATGCCAGCATCAGCCAGCAAGCCAGCAGAAGCTAGGGGAGAGGCATGGAACTGACGTCCGCAGTACCCTCGGAAGGAACTAACCCTGATGCCACTTTGACCTTGGACTTCTAGCCTCCAGAGCTATGAGACAACAAATGTCTGTGGTTTATTTTTTTATCCTCAGCCAAGGACTTTTTTTTTTTGATATTTTGTTCAGATAGAGTGGGAGGGAGAGAGAGAGAGAGAGAAACACTGACGCGAAAGGGACACATCGAGTGGCTGCCACCCGCACAACCCAACCAGGGCCGGGGACAAACTGCAACCGAGGCACGTGCCCTTAGCGGGAACCGAACCAGGGTCTCTCTGGACCGCAGGTCGACACTCCAACCGCTGAGCCAAACTGGCCAGGGCATGTCTTTGTTTAGACCACCCTGTTTGTAGTTTTTTTACAGCAGCCCTAGAAAACTAACACACTGTGGGTCTGACTTGTGTATAGGTGATTTGAGGGTACCCCTTCACTCTGCAGGGTGGCGTGGCTGAGTTGCAGTGCCAGATATAGCCTCCAGGTGGCGCAGCGAGCATCAGGCGGGAAGATAAGAAGTGGAACTCAGCACCCCTCTAGGCAGGGGGGACCCTGCTCCTCCACACTCCTGGGGCAACTAGGTTGCCCCTCCGAGGCATGTCAAGCTCCTGGGCAAGGAGTTCAGGGCACAGCTCTGTCACACTGGAAAGCTACTCCTATCACCTTGTGAGAACCGCCCCCCCACCCCAAGGCCGCTCTGAGCTCCGTCCAACATTCTGTACTCTCTCACCTCTAGATGGAGGTCATCACAGCTATTCTCCTTCCTTTATAAGTCTTCCGCCACCCTCCCAGCAGGAAGAAAGGGTAGGAAGAAAGTACCAGGTGCAAATGTTGGAGGGGGGTCCAACTGGCCAGGAGTAAGAGGTGTCAGGGGAATGAGATATTTCTGGTCATGCCAAGGGAGCTGCCTGGCCCCGCCAGAAAGGGGACAGGGCAGGTTTGAAATCTCAATGACATTTATGACAGGCAGGCTGAGGACATGGCCCAAGAGGGCAGACAAATATCTGCCATGGGGCTGATTAAACCTCCGTGATATACAGCCTCTGGGCTCACAGGCCCTCCTGGATTCCGGGGCTAATTGTATCCCCCACAGCCAGGCTGCTGGGCCTGCCACAGCCTGCCCTGGCTGACCAAGCCTTCCCAGCTGTCCCCTCAGGAGTTACATCATTCCAGCTGAGCTAGGCTCCCACCCAGAAAATTTGGAGGGATGGGCAATTTTTAGGGCACACAAACATCTATCTAACCCCTGTCATGAGCATCAGCAGGCCAGCATTCCCTGTGCTGGCCTGTATTCAGAACCAGCACAACTCACCCTAGCTGGATCTACACTTGGACAGGACCTGGTCCACATGCTCTCTTTAACAGAAGAGGAAGTTGAGTCCCAGAGCAGGGGAGTGGACGTTCTTCAAAGTACATGGCAGTACAAGAGCTACTTCTAGAAACTTCCTCGCCTCCCTCTCTACCACTCAGCTGCCAGGCCACCTCTTCTTTACGAGGACAACCACTTTACTGAGAGCTTACTGTGTGCCAGGTGCTTTACACACAGGATCTCTCTTAAACTTCACAACAACCCCATGAGGTGGTCACTATTATTAACCTATTACTCCACATCGTAGGTTAGAGAACAGACCGAGTGGTTTCATGGCTGGATCTGAGCTTACACTTGTCTGACTCTAGAGCCCAAGTCCTTAACCACTGCCCTACCTCACTTCTCCTTCAGCCTGCTAAGCCCTGATTTGAACTGCTGGGTGGGAAGGGGGGTTACTGAGTCAGAGAAGTGCTCCTAGGGAGGCTTGGGGCGCAGCACCTATCAGGCCAGGGTGCCAGGCAGGGAGGTGCCACACCCGGGTCAGGAAGAGCTGGAGTCAGAATGGCTGGGAGGAAGGGGTGGGGAGAGAGGGGAAGGACCCCTCTCGAACTGAACTCGAGAAAAGACCAGGTGAAAGCAGAGCAAAGGAGTATGCATGTGTCCAGGCAGGACGGAGTCTGTCTGTCTGCCATTTACACAGCAGTAGGGGGTTCATCTCGGTGTTCTCACCTGAGTGTGGGTTGAGGCTGCAGCAGGGAGGGCGGGGGTTGGACTATGGGAGGGAGCCATCCACTTGAAGTCCGACTCACATCAGAGCTAGAAGGCTGATGGAGGCCAGAGTTGCTGTCTGCCTGTCTGTCTGTGTGTCCATCCATAGGGAGCTGCAGGAATTAGGGGGTGGAGGGAGCACTTAGGCAGGGCCCCAGGGCCCCATCTCTACCACTTCTTGCAGTGACAATGGACTTCAGGGCTGGCTTCCAGGGGGGCCTCTGGCACTGCAGTGAGGTGGAGTTCTCTGGCTGCCTCTCCAAAGAAGATTGGATAGAAAGAGCGTTGGGAGTCATGAGATGTGGAGGCAGAGTTTTTTCAGCTGCAGCCCTGGGCAGGGGGTCTTCAGGAAAGAACTGCTTTGGCCAAAGGGTTAACAGGAGAGGAAGGTTCTCAGCCTGTCCCCAGCCTTTGGCCAGGCATGAAGGGCTCCCTCACCAAACCTTTAATGAGTCCAATTACATTCCGGTATTTCCCCCCATGTCTGCCAACATTTACCCTCCACCTCCCTCAGCCAGGTCCCAGGATCTGCCTTTGAGAAGGAAGCCTGGCTAGCTGGCCAACCTTGGGCCAGTCCCTGCCCCTCTGAGCTTTGGTTTCTGTCTTTAAAGAGAGGGGGATGGGCTGAGCTAATCTCTCAGGTCCTTTGTAGGCCGGGTGGCAGTGGCAACACAGAGCAGCTGCTTCTAAGGAGGTGGGGGGAGGCCGGAGGGGTGGGTATGGAGAAAGAACTGCCCAGTGGTGAGTGCCCACTGCCTTTTGGGCACTGTAGAAACATCGCCTCTATTTACCCTCAAAACAATCCTGTGAGGCTTTACAGATGAGGAACCTGAGGCTCAGAGTTGAAAAGAGGGGTAGGTGAATAGGGCCAGTTCTCTCCCATTCTATGATTCAGGGGCAGGGGGTACAGACACTGGTGGCCCACATCCCAGTTACTAACAGGGTCATGAGCAGGACTGTGGGATCTCCCATCCCCATGGCCCAGCTGTAGAGAGAAGCATCTGGGAGAAGAGAGGCCTCGCTGCTCCTGTCCTAGTCATGCATGAGCCCTCCTGGGTCTGGCTACTGCCTCACTGCTCCTGAGGAGCCGCCACTGAGCACTGTGGTTTCTCTTCCTCCCACCTCCCCTCCCTCAAGGCTGACACCTTCCTAGGGTGAGGGGTGGGGCACAACCCACTTCGGTGCAGCCACCACAGAGTGGCACCACCCCAGCCATCCTGTGAGTCCAGAGAGCTGGGGTCACCCAGAATCATACCCAAAGCTTCCCAGAGGAGCCAGAGACCCCCACCTAGAGGGAAGAATGGCCTGAGTGGGGCCAGCTGTGCTAACCACCAGCCCACACATCCCTGCTTTGCTAGAGCAGGAGGTCCTGGGGGCTGGGCAACAGCTGGTGCAGGTGTCAGGGGCCAGGTGGGGGTTCCATTGGGCAAACCAAGGTAGCCATGTCTGTTTTCCCATCCAAAGTGATGATAGAGGAAGACTGTCACCTACTCCTGGGACTGCTGGGTGCTGGGGGTTTTGGGAGTGAGCTGGCTAAGAGGCACTGAAAGTAAACACTCCAGCTCCAAGGGGGAGGGAGAATGATGGTCCAGGGATGAGGTCACTGTCCCCCACCATTTTCCTGCCGCCAGTCTGCTCTATCCTTACCCCCTATTGGTTGGGTGTTCCAGAGGCCCTCTTCTCAAAGACCCTCAAGCCACCCTCAGGAAGGAAGTCCTTCTTGCTATCTAACTTGCATTTCTCCTTGCAGGGTCCACAGAGCAACACAGAGCAGCTGCCTCTAAGGTGGCGGTGGTGGTGGTTGGGGGAAGGGGTGTTAGGAAGGGAGTATTAGCCTCAGCGCCACATTTTCTAGTTTGTGCTGCCAGGCAAGACCTGGGAAACCTGATTTATTCAGGAGACACCCCATTCCCCATGGCCCCCTTATGTGAACACACGGGTCCAGGATCCTGGCACAGCTCAGCCTCATCCACCACCTGCTCTCCCAGCCCAGCTCCCCATAGGACTGAGCAGTAGCTCCCTCAAACCCCACTCCCTGCCCATGATGGCCCCACTATCAGCACTTCCAAGACAGGCTGGGGGAACGAGTCCCAGGAGCCAGAGGGAGCAGGGCTGGGAGGTCCCGACTGTTAGAGAGGTGTGGGTAGGCTGCAAGCCAGGAGGGCCCAGCCTATGCCCATTGCTGAAGAGGAGGCAGTCTGCTGGAGGGGGAGGGGGGAACAGGAAGGCCTCCCTCCAATGGCTCTGATGAGGAAGGTGGAGGAGCCGAAAGTGTGCTCTTTACACCCCCAAAGGGAACAGATGTCCCCTCCGTCACCTCTTGCATTCAGTTCTATCCTAGCAGCTAAGGGCGGATTGGTTTTGGGGTTCTCTAAACTCCACAGGAAAAGGGGACAGCTCCGTCTCCAGGGACCGGTCCCCTCCTTAGGGTAGGGGTCTCACCCTCCTTGCCCGGTGGTCCCAGCCTCCCTTCCCCTACCAGGAGCTGGAAGTCCTTTTTACCATCACTCTCATTGTCCCCCCCTCCCAACCTCAGTTTCAGGCTAAGTTGGGGTCCTTGTCTCCCACCTTCCCCCCACTCCAAGTGGGGCAAGGGCTTCCCCGCTGCCCGCAGCTGTGCAGAGCCACCTACACCCGACCCGGCGCGGCTCCCTCGGGCGCTCAGCCCCAGCGGCTCGTGGGTCCGGGATGGGGTGCGCCGGCGCCTACCTGAAGGGCGCTCCCGGCCCCAGCAGGGCTGAATCCAGCCGCCCGCGGCCGCCCCGGGCGGTACGTCTTTGCGGCTCCCAGAGGTGCGCGGGGCTGAGTCCCGGCCCGTGCGTCCCAGAGCGGCCGCCGCGTCTCCCAAACCCGCCCCTGGGCGGCCCGCGCCGAGCAGGTGCCAGGAGCCGCCCGGAACGGAGCCCGGGCGAGCCGGCAAGCGAGCCGCCGAGGGGCCAAGCACGGTGGGCGACCTGGGGAGGAAGGCCAGGGACACGCGGGGCTCTCCCTGCGGAAATGGCTGGGGAGTTTCTTCCTTACGGCTAGTCGGCCAGGAGAGTGCCCTTCAGTTTCCCAGGGGTCGCAGACTCAGGGAAGGAGACCCCAAAGTGGTTATCTCCCACTGGCCTTCTGTGACCTCCTCCTTCCCCTGTAAATTGCCCTGCTTTGGGGTTAAGCTCAGAGAAGGAGGAAGCTGACATTCATGGAGCACCTACTGAGTGCCAAGAGGGATCGCACTCAATCCTCATAACTACTCTGCCGGGACTGATTTGATCCCCATTTTACAGACCAGGAAACGAAAGATTGGGGACATTAAGTAACTGATCCAAGTCACACAGGAAATGAGCACCAAGTGGGAGCCTCCAGACTGGTCCTAGGAACCATTTCTGGAGGTCAGGGAGACAGCCAGAGAGCCTGCTGGAGAACCCCCTCCCCATGTGTGGCTGGGGCTCATTTCGGATTCCTCCCCGGGAATCAGTGCAGGTCAGGTCTGGGGCACAGAGCAGGAGCACAAAGCCAAGCAGGGGAGGCTGGGGGTCGGGGCTAGTGGCATGACCTCCCAAGAGAGCTCTGCCATCTTTCCACTATTGGGGAGGCGGTAAGAAAGTGAGTCCCCAAGAAAGGAGACAGAAATGGCTCTTGTATGCAAAGAAAATGTATCAGTGCTGCTCACCCACCTCATGCTCCTGCAGGCAGCATGCGGGCCACGCCTTCCAGAGAGGGGGCCCTCCAGTGGGGAGCCCTGGCAATACCTCCACCTCTGCTACCCAGTCTCCCAGCGCCTCTTCTTGGTCCTCACACCCATCACCTCACTCCTGTCTTGAGGCTTCTGCCCTGCTGTTCCCGCAGCCTGGAACACTCCCCTGGCCTTCATAGGGCTGTTTCTTGCTCAAGCCTCAGCTCCAAAGTCAGCTCCCCAGGTGGGATTTCCCCAGCCCCATTATTCTTTGTCCCCGCCCCTGGTTAATTTCCCTCTTAGCATGTCTCCCAAGACATAATTCTTGTGCTTGGATACTTACCTGTCTCCCTCCTGAGGGAGGGCCTTTATTTCCCAGGCATCCGAAGCACCAGCACAACGCTTAATGCTTACCTAATAGATGCTCACTAAATAGTTGTTGAATGAATGCATGAACTCATTCCCACTCCAAAAGTAAATCCAGCCCTGGCCGGTTTGGCTCAGCGGTTAGAGCGTCGGCCTGTGGTCCAGAGAGACCCTGGTTCGGTTCCCGCTAAGGCGCACACCTCGGTTGCAGTTTGTCCCCGGCCCTGGTTGGTTGTGCGGGTGGCAGCCACTGGATGTGTCCCTTTCACATCGATGTTTCTCTCTCTCCTTCTCTTCCTCTCTCTCCTTCCCACTCTATCTGAACAATAAATGGGAAAATGTCCTCAGGTGAGGATAAAAAAAAACAAAAAACAAAAGTAAATCCACATTAAACTGTACACTATAAATGGGTGAACTGTGTGGTATAGGACTTATATCTAAATTAAGCAGTTACTAAAAAACAATAATAAATCCAGGGTGGGATGGCAGTCATGGTACACCGTGTGTAACTTGCCATCCCACAGTACACCCGTCCTCTGACTTGATCCAGTCACAGGTCTCTCCCTCACAGTCCACATCCTGTCTGTCCGTGGAGAATTGCAGTTGCTCAGACTTGAAAGGGATCTTAGAGGTCACACTGTCCTTTTCATAATTTGTCCCCCATAAGCTACCCTCTGGTCTCTGCTTGAACATGCCAATGACAGGGAGCGCACTGCCTCCCGAGACAGCCCACTCCGTTGTTGGATAGTTCTCAGTGATAGAAATTTCATCACCGTGGGGGCTGAAAGCGGCTTTCCTATAATACCACGCACGGGCCCCAGATCTGTTCCCTGGTCATCTAGAAAAGTGCTCTCCATGTTCCACGGCTAAAAACAACAGGCAGCTTCTTTCTAAGAGGTTTCTTCTCCCAGCTAAAAAGACCCATTTCCCTCAACTATTTTTCCCCTTCCCCAGGAGGAAGCCCCCCTTATGTGCTCCTAGGGTACCTTGTATGGGTCC